AGGAGCTGGGGACCAAGCGTGGTGCTAGGAGCTGGGGACCAAGCATGGTGCTAGGAGCTGGGGACCAAGCGTGGTGCTAGGAGCTGGGGACCAAGCTTGGAGCACATGTGCACTCAGATCACAGCAAAAACTCTGGTCTTTGGAGCATCCTTGAAAACCACCCTCACCACACAAGTGAGTCTTGTCAGCTTCACCTCAGATGGCTTGCAGAATCTCAGTGACCTCATGGATGCTCTGCTCCCTTGGTCCTAGGCACCAACCTCATGTATTCGTCAGCAATGATGGGGACAGACAGTGGGTGCTGAGGACTGAACATATGGAGGCAGACATTCTAAGCAGAGGCTGAGTGATATAGCCTCAGTCTTTTTTTACATTTTATTTTGAAACAGAGTCATATTCAGTTTCAAGCTGGCCTTGGACTTCTCATCCTCCTGCTTCAGCCTCCCAAGTAGTTGGGTGTTTCCGTAGGCTTTTCTTTTGCTGTGATAGATCACCCCGACAAGAAGCAACGGGGGGAATGAAAGGGTTTACTTGGCTTGTACTCCCAGGTCACAATCCATCACTGAGAGAAGCCGGGGCCGGGACTCAAGCAGGAACTGAAGCAGAAACCATGGGGAAATGTTGCTTACTGGCTCACTTAGCTTGCTCACCTAGCTTTCTTAAATGGTCCAGACCCACCTGCATAGGGATGGCGCCACCCACAGTGGGCTTGGCCTTCCCACATGAATCAAGACTTGGCATGACCATAGGTCAATCTGATGGGAACAGTTATTCATATGAAGTCCCCAGATAACTCTGGTTGTGTCAAGTTGACAGCAAAAATAACAGGCACAGTTTGACCATAGCAGGCAACATCAGGACCAGGAGTTTTTAAGTTTATTGAGACAGCATCTCACTTTCTAATCAAGGCTGTTTTCAAACTGAAGACAATCCTCCTGTCTTTGTTTCCTGGGAGCTTGGTTCACAGGTGTGAATCACCTCAGCCAGAGTGGTTGTCCTTTTAAAACCTAAATCAGATTCTGTACTTCTCAAAACCCTTTAATGGTTTTCTTTCATTCTAATTTAGACTAAAAATCATTAAAAGGATTTGTAAATCTCTACATGATTGTCCTGATTCCTGTGTGGCTCTCCTGTGCTTTCTTCTAATTTACTCTGTTCCTGCCATTAGCTCCAGTGCTGTGTCTACAACACGAGAACATTCACCTCAGGACCTTTGTGTGTGCTGTCCGCTGTGCTCAGGACCATCTCCCCTCAGTCACATGGGTCTGCCCCTCACTTCCTTAAGGACTTGTTCACTTTATTAGATGGGATGTCCTGACTACCTAAAATCAAGGCCTTAAGACAGACTGTTCTGTCATATCTTGAACAACTTTCTTTTTTCTTTTTTTTTTTTCTTTTTGGTTTTTCAAGACAAGGTTTCTCTGGGAAACAGTCCGGGCTGTCCTGGAACTCGCTTTGTCCATCAGGCTGGCCTTGAACTCACAGAGGTCCGGCAGCCTCTGGGTGCTGGGATTAAAGGTGTTCACCACCACCTCTCCCCTCCCCTGCCCCGCCTCTTGCTCTACTTTTTAAAAAATAGTATCTTTGATTTAGTTGTTGACAATTTCATACTCTCTCTTTCTCTTTCTCTATTTTATACACACACACACGCACATTGTATCTTGATCATATCCATTACACACACATTACACACACACACACACACACACACACACACACACACACACACTTCCCTTTCTTCCTTCAAGCTTGTTCCCACCGCTGATCCATTGGGTTCAGTGATGCTGACTGGCCCTGTCGACTCCATCCTGCACAGAGGACCATAGCTCTGTGAGTGCAGTGGCCAAGTCAAGTCCAGAGGACAGCATTTCCTAGCTCTGCTCCCTCATCCTCTGGCTCTTACAGTCTTTCTGCCCCTTCGTCTGTGATGTTTCCTGAGCTGGACAGGCAGGACTGTTGATGCGGATGTCCCTTCTGGGGATGAGCCCTCAACTGTCTCAGCACTCTGACCAGTTATGAGACCAGCATTAATGCCACCCACTGCAGAGAGAAGAGTCAACACAGGCTCAAAAAAAGCAACAGGCCAGTGACCCAAAGTCTCCCATACTAAAAACCAAGGCAAACCTTTTTCCTTTATAATTTGCTTATCTCAGGAATTTTGTTACAGTACTGTAAAGCCAACAAACACAATTCTAGAAATATATATGATGAAAATTAAACTTACATTTATAATAGTTTTAGATTTACAGAAACTTGCAGAGATTCCTAGGTATGGTCAAAATCACCACATCTAGTTTCTGGTTATTTGTACCTTACATTAATGTTCTACATTTATCATAATCAAAAGCCCAGTATTGATACATTATTGCTCACTAAAATCGACACTTTATTCAAAAATTCCTAGTTTTGTTACCCGTGCCCCTTTTCTGTCTTAGTGTCTCCTCTAGGATAGTCACAGCACAGTCGGCTGTCCTGTTTTCTTGGACTCTTCCATTGAATTCTTGGTTGCCAGAGGCCAGGCATCCTCACCAGTTCCAGTGTCTTCTGAAACAGGACCTGGGCAAATGCTGAATCCAATCGGCCCAATTTCTATTTTAAAATGTCAGCTATTTGATGGAATGATTTAATACTTGCTTCTGAGTAGCTTTATCTACCTAGACATCTATCCCTCTGATGTGAACAGTGAGATTCCACTTGGCCCTGAGGTTTTATGAAGGGCTTTGTTTATTACAGCTGACAGATCTGTAGGGCAGGGCTGACTTCATAGGAACCGCTGCTACCTGTGTCTCATCTTCGAGTGTCAGAAGAGCTGGGTGACAACTGCCTCATCTCCTTTGGCTGCTCCACCTTGGTCTGGATCCCAGGGACATCTGTGAGGATCCCTAGATCAGATACTGGAACCCGAACATAAATAACGATAAGTGCTACCGGAGGCTGGAGCCTACGATTTTATGTTACATATATAGCACATCTGATCCTTACAATGTGCAATAAATAAGGATGCAGTGATGTACTTTCATCCTAATTTTGGTTTAGGAAACCAAGGCACAGAAAAGGTAGCCTGGAAATACACTAAGGGTGAAAGACAGACCTGGAACCTGGGCTCAGAACTGCCAAGGCACCTGTTCTGTGAATGAACATCCCTAATCTTTTGTCAAGACAGAGACTTCTCAAACTAGAAGATTGTTTGGATGGCCGAGGGAGGGACCATAGACAAAACATCATTGGAGAGCATGACTGTTTCCCATTTACTTGGTCCTCAAAACTTAAGTAATCCAGCATCCAGTATCTGATATGTTCAAGATATGAGCAGGGTTCCGGTAAAGGCCATTCAAATCCCAGAATGAATACTGAGCTACTCCTGGCCAACTTAAGGCCCAATTCACAGAGGCAGGAAGATCTCTGTGAGTTCAAGGCCAGCCTGGTCTACAGAGAGAGTTCTAGGACAGGCTCCAAAGCTACACAGAAAAATTTTGTCTTGAAAAATGAACAAACAATTACTCAATTCAACACATTTTTCCTTCTAGGGAAAGTCAGGTTCCCAGAATGACCAAGTTTCCATGTTTACTCTTGCAGGTAGCATGGCTGGTCGCTGGGTATTGTGGTCCACTAGATCTAGTGTCTATGGCCTACCTAACACTCTCCAGGTATCGCCAACCCTCTTTGTGGCACCAAGGAAATCCTTATAAGACATTTTATGAGTCCTAGGAATTAACATCTGTCCCCAAGTTATAAAATAATTGAGGTGTTGGGTTCCTTTGAAAACATTATCCAGACTGGTTGTGTTGACTCATGCCTGTGATTCCAATACTTGGGAAACTGAAACAGGAGAATTGCTGTGTTTGCCACCTATGAGTTCTAGGATAGCCTGAGTTAGAATGTGGGATACTGTCTGCCCAAATCAAAACAAAAATATTAGCTATCCAAGCACAATATATTTAGTTATTGTTAACCAAAATCTGTAACTATTTATAGAAAGCATTGGCAAAAAGTTATAACCGTGTCTTTCAAAGACTGCTCCATTTTGGGACCTAAACTACCATGACCTACACAAGAAACATGGGCACAATGTGATAAATACCTTGGGGATGTCATTTGCATACTCTAGATAAGAGCTGGAAGATCTGCTTCAGATCTCACTTAGAGCAAATCTGTTTCAAATCTCACTTAGAGATGTGTCTGAAGGTCCACAGCCAGGGATGGTTTCGTCCTCAGGGGATTGTTATGGTTGTCACAATCTGGGTGCTTCGCTATTGACTTCAGATGGGTAGAGCTGCACTCTGCTCGGAATCAGTCTCCTCTCCTTAAACTCAAGAAGCAACCTTTCGGAAGAGGAAAGGGGTATTGCCCGGTTCCCAAATTTCCTCCAAACGGTGGAGGGAAAATGCCCTTCTCCTCTTCCACTCTGAGATGAACACGTCTGCCTGGGCCCTGCTAATAAAAGCGCAAAGCGTAAATGGCTTGGGGATTATTGGCTTTCGCCCTTGGACTGAGACGTGAGATCACGATTTTCAGCTGGGGGAAGGAACCGCCTCTACCAGGCTGAGAGGCCGCCGCTTCCCCTTCCTGTGCGGGTCCTGCATGACATCACGGTGAGCTCTTGCTGGTAGGGGGAGAGGCGACTTCTCCCGGGACCTAACCCCAGACTGGTTTTTAAAACCAGGTTTTAAAAAAAGGAGAGGTGGGAGGAGTAATGTCGAGGAAGAGGAAAACAGAAAAAGCGGGTCCCGGTACCACAGCATCTTTAGCGGCTGTGTGTACAGGCAAAAAGGAACAGCCTTAAGCAACTGCATCCCCAAATGTTTTTCTGCAACATCCCCCAAACCCATCTTTACCTTACTTTTAAGTCCAACATAAATCGATACAGAAAGCTGTCTGGAGACCTGGGTGGAGAGGATTAGGGGTACCTCGGTCAGGGACCGGGAAGGACCAGAGCATCCACACTGGGGTGGGGTGGGGTGGGTGGACCGGAGGGCCGGGCGGGGGCGCAGCAGCCAGCGGTTACCTCCCCCGCCAGGCGACAGCAGTCAGAGGGGGGAGGCAGAAGCGCCTCCTCCCCGCCCGGAGCCGGGGCTGCAACGCAGGGGGAGGAAGACGCCTGACCTAGCCCCCAATGAGGGGCGGATCATGCCATGGCAGCGCTTGCGAACGACAGCGGCGGCAGCACCCAGAGCCGGAGCAGCAGCCCCGGGAGCCGGGAGGGAGTTGGGGGTACTACGGCGGGAGCTCGCGACGATGGGGACCTCGCAGTCCGGGACACCTCGGCGACCGCCCCCAGCCTCCCTCTTCTCGAGGACTACGAGTGCAAAATCTGCTACAACTACTTCGACGCGGACAGGCGCGCCCCCAAGCTGCTGGCATGCCTGCACACCTTCTGCCAGGAGTGCTTGAGCCAGCTGCAGCTCCGCGCCGCCGCCTCCAGCGCGGCCCCTGAGCGCGCGCCGCGCCCGCCACCCTGGCAGGGCCCGCCCGGCGCCATCGCGTGCCCAGTGTGCCGCCACCGCACGCCGCTGCCGGACAGCCGCGTGCACGGCCTGCCCAACAACACCAAGCTCGCAGAGGCCTTCCCGCTGGCTTTGCGCGCCGCGCACGATCCGCTACCCCAGGACCGGCTCCCGCCTCTGGCCTCCCGCCGCCCCGCGCCCACCGCTGCCTCGCCGCCAGCCCCCACCCCGCAGCCGCAGCAGCTGGCGCCACCACCCGCGGAGGACACCGCCCCCGGGCCTCGCGGCCGCCCAGGCCTCCGCGCCCCGGGAGCCTACGAGAGCTGTCAGAACTGCAAGCGTGCAGCGCTCACCGCCGGCTGCGTCTGCGTGGTCTTCTCCTTCCTTTCCATGGTGGTGCTGCTGTTCACCGGTCTCATCTTCGTCAACCACTACGGCGGCGGCGGCGGGGGTGGGGGACCCCCGGGCAGCGGTTCGTCCTCTGGTCCCGCCCCAGCTCCCGGAGGATCGCCCTCGCCCTCGCCCGTAGGACCCATCTGTCTGTCAGTGGCTAGCATCCTGGCACTCTTCTCGGTGGTGGTCACCTGGATCATCTGCTGGCTCAAGTATCGGCCCGAGGGGGCGGCCGCGGGCCCGGCAGCAAGCGGCGGGAGTGGCTCCAGGGCACGGGCAGCTGCAGCTCCCGGCAGGAGGAGCGACAGGTAGAGGGGGCGACACGCCCGGCTCCCCGTGCATTGCCTACCCTGAGAGGCCCCAGAGGACCTTGCTTCTGGTCTCAGAGGACCTCAGTGCGCTGGGGTTTCTGCTCCCCACCAACTTCGTCTGTGACCATGGGCCAATACCGAGCCTCAGCTTCCCGCCTCAGTTTCCCATCTTTCTGTTCCCTACTTCACTGGGCAAGAGGGATGCCGGTGTGTGTATGGGAGGGCGGGTCTTTTACCCAGATCTCTGCTTTATGTGCCAGCTCACCCTGACCAGAGTGTGTGGCTGTCCCTTCCCAAAATCTGGGAAGGTGCCGAAAGCGGATTGCCTCTAGCGCCATTGGACTTGAATTGCCTAATGGAAGACTGACTGCATTGTAAATGCAAATGACCTTTCTGCGTCTCAAAGATCCCCGGAGGGGAGAAACTGTCGAACAGCCGACTCTGCACACAGAGGGGTGAACGTCTGGACCGACTTAGCACTAGTCGGCTTCTGAGCTATGCTGGGCAGGTGCTCAGCGCGCGTGCGTGTGCGGTCCAGGCCATCTCTGTTCTCCCTCAAGCTGGCACGTACTAGTTGGTGATCCGTTGCTTTCCGCCTGGTGGCTGGAGCCGAGCCCAGAAGTCCCATCTCCTGGAGGCTTGCGGTTGTTTTATTCACATTGCTACTGCCAGGAAAGTCATTTTCATCTTCTGTAACCGGACTCGACTCAGGGAGCTTAAAGAACTTGACCTCCTTTCTCTCAAAACTGACTGACTGTTGCCCCCACCTGGAAGATAATGAAAGCTATTTGCTCAGAGTATAAACTATAGGTTTTCCCTTTTCCTGTGACCCTCCTCCCCCCATTTCACTTAAAAATAATTTATTTTTGAATATGTAGATTTGGAAGTTTTGCACATTGAGATCTCTGGAAGCCGTTTTGAACGGCTTCATTTCTCTGTTACCTCTCATTCAAATGCATTTCAGAACCAGAAGCCGAAAAATCAAGGAGTGTTAGTAATTCATTCAAGATTTTATACTGTGAAACAACTTTCAACTCTATGAAAACACAGACTAATGCCCAAAGATGAAACTCAAAAGAGCCTCTGTCTCTAATGATTATCGAGATATTGTACATTTATCATATCTTGAGTTTGGCTTTTTGCTGTCATGGAAATCATTGAAATGTCCACACCTGATGGGGGAATATACATGTCTACCTGATTCTGAGACTAACGGGAATGATTTGTGAGTGCGTACTTGACATGGTATAGCTGCCTTTTCCAAAGAAAAACATGGATCTAAGTGTATTTTGTATGGAAACAAATGTTCCTTCTTTTGGAAATTGGAAGGAGATAGTTTTCATGGTTTGAAAAAAATCAGAGATGTCTCTTGGGGGTGTGTCATTTTTCCTTGTGTATTGTGTAGTCTGCATGATGCCCTGACACCATGTTATTAACTGAAATCGAATGAAGCATTTATATCTATCACATGAACAAAGTAATTTATTGGCCATCCCTAAGTAGCGCGGCTACAATTTAGGAACCACAATATGGTGTGTTAGATGTCTATGTTGTCTTAATAAAAATAGGAAGTGTTTGTAGAAAATCAGCCACACTGGTTTTGGTGCAATTTTATTTCATGGTGGAAATGCTCCAAGCTATTCGCACAGCCTTTCTTTGCCTTGCATGCACATTCCCAGCCAGGTCCCAGCTGCATGTTTTGAATGAGAAGTAACTCATACTTGAGAGTGTGGTTGCTTAAGATGAGCACTTTGTGTACTTCTGGGCTTCTTTTCTTTTAAAGGAATGTTCCTATTTTGTAAAAGATGTGTGTGGATGCATGTATGTCTCTGCAGCCTGTGTGATCCTGGTGCCTATGGAGGTGTGAGAAGCCATTGGGGGTCACCATGGGGACAGTGGGAGTCTAACACTGGTCCTCTGCTGCTCTAACCATTGAGCCTCTTTCCCAACCTCTGTTTCTGAGCTTTTTAATAAGACTCCCCAAAGACTCACTGAGGACTGTTGCAATCCTTTGGAGAGAGAAGACTTTAGTCCCTATGGCTATGACACCCCCAAAAAACTAGATTTTGATGCCACACTGCTTTTGGTTTCTGTGAGCTATGTCAAGTCCCAAATAGGAGTCACACTTCAGAGATGACTTGTGATTTATTTATACCACAAACAGCTTGTGCTGCTTTTATATTTACTTATATTTTATTCACCTCTCTTTACTGCGGTGCAGTCATTCTGCTTGTAATCGCTGTGACCGAGGTTTATCCACACATGTATGTTGTGTGTATGTGGATATACACGCATGGCACATGCGCACTAGTAACAGACCTTGGCTTTGCAGATGTGCCCGTGAGTACACACACCAAACACAAACATGTGTTTGCTATTTCATTCCCTTCAGCAGGCAGCCAGTGCCTAGAGTGTCTTGGGGACTGGCTTGCTTCTTAGAGTTTATGCCCCACAGAAGTGAGCCAGCGATGTAGGCTGAACCGTTCCTCGTTCCTCCGTTCCTCCGATGGCAGGAACGCGCCTTTGAGGTGCCTCCATCACAATGAGAGCCACATTTTGCCTCTTTCACGGATTACACATGTAAATGTCTTGTGAAAATTGAGTTAAAACTGTTGAAAATCAAATAGATATCATTAGAGAATCAGTACTTAGAGATATTTTTCACCTCGGCTGGCCCTTGCTTTGGTTACTAATTTCTAACTTTGTCACCAGAAATGGAATAGTGACGAAAATGTGTGTATGCTCCTCTTGCCTTCAGATGTGTGAGCCCCCTCCCATTTGGCAGATTCAACTTAACCATACACCTTTTGCTACTTTTATATTTATACACATCCTTTATCCATCTTTTTTTTTTATTTCCCTCCAGTGCAGGGATTGTAATTGCTATAGCAAATTGCATCTCCACCTGTGTATAAGTTGTGAATATGAAAACATATGTATTTATTTATTTGGTTGGTTTTGGTTTTTCAAGACGGGGTTTCCCTGCAGAACAGTCCTGGCTGTTCTGGAACTTCCTTTGTGGACTAGACTGGCCTCAAACTCACAGAGATACAGCCTCTCAAGTGCTGGAATCAACGGTGTATACCACTATGGCTGACTTGGGTGTGTCTTAAATATGCAAACTAGTAACAGAACTTGGATTCCATATATTTTAAGATCTGACAGAACATCATCTTAGACAAAGCAAGAGTTTCGAAAGACATTAAAATCATATCTGAATTGTCTAGAAGGCTTCTGGGATAATGGGAAGCACCTTCAGATTGTCCCATGACAATTCTCCCCTAGATCTATCTTCCTTCCTTCCTTCCTTCCTTCCTTCCTTCCTTCCTTCCTTCTTTCCTCCCTCCCTCCTTCCCTCTGCCTCTCTTTCTTTCTTTCTTTCTTTCTTTCTTTCTTTCCTTCTCAGGTTTTCTAAGACACAGTTTCCCTATGTAGCCTTGATGGTCCTAGAACCTGCTGTATAGACCATGGTGGCCTCAAATTCAGAAAGATTCACCTGCCTCTGCCTCCCCAGTACTGGGATTAAAGGCATATACCATCATCTGGAGTCCCCTCACCATTTTAGAAGAGAGTGACTCAATCCTGGACACAGGTCCATCTTAAGAGTAAGAAGGTCCGGTAAAATTCTATCTGGTCTGCCTTGCACAGCCTCTCAAGAACTTGGAGATCTCAGCATCCACTTGTGCTTGAGTTTAAGGCTGCAGGTTATTCTAAATTTCAAGGAAAAGCTTTTATCCTTGGCCCCTGAAGGCTTCCTGATTTGATGAACAGGATCCTCCTCCCAGAAAGTGCATTTGCACCTGCAGTCAGGAGAGGCATTCAGAGGATTGCTTTCTCCTTACTTGGAAAGACCTCAGGCTCTTCATCTGTAAAAAGTGAGGCTAAGTTCATCAGTGACCCACCTCTGCATCAAGATATTGGCAGGAGGATTTGTACTCTTAGGAGGACTAACAGTTAAAATGTCCCGGAAATTGAAGCTTCCTGAACCCCATGTTGCTGCTTTCATTCAAGAATTTAATGTCCCTTTCACAGAGAGTTCTGTCATGTCTACTATCTGTCCCCAGACACTGGTACACTGTCTATCTTTCCTGATGTTTAAAACTGCCTACAGAACTTTTGCTTACTTGCCCTGTTGGGTGAGGAGAGAGTACTATGATTTGTAACCAGAATGTAAAGTCGAGGACAGAAATCCTGCTTTTCTGGTCTTCTCATAAAGCGTGTGTGAGTTCTCAGTACAAAGTAAGTGACTAATAAATACAATGGTGAATTGACAGAAGGAAAACTCTGAAATAAATGTTGGGCAGCTTGGTTCTTCCCTGACTCACTCTGCCAGTCAGTAACTCCCTCCTGAGATCTGAGGGCCAAAGGTGAGAGGGAGAGGAGAGAGAGAGAAGGGAGGGGGCTTCTCTACTTCATAAGGATTTTTTTAAGGGCCAAGGATTAGCAAAGAAGGCCCAGGTCTAATCCCCAGCCTAAAACCCGAGCACAGTGGCACATGGTGCCCTCCTGTGGTGCCAGCCCTGGGGAGGTGGAGGCAGAAAGATCCGAAGTTCAAGTCATCCTCAGCTCTTACGTAACCCAGGCTATATGAGAAAATCGGTCTAAAAACAAAACAAATGCATAAGAAATAGATTTACAAAAAGCACTCTGGGTCCTGAGGGAAAATGAGACCCTGCAGGGGAACTAACACTGCATATTCAACAACAGAACCATCAAGAGCATTTTGGCTTTTGTTTCTAAGCATTTCTGCATTGTGACATTAGGATATGTTTGTACCGTGTGTTCTATAGCGAGTGGCATCTATAAGCTTGAAGGCTTCCCACAACACCAAGAATCGGTTCTGTTATGTTCCCCTTTATCCGGTACTCCCTGTTTTATTATCAGTCCCGTTCACTAACCTGCTAAGTTTATAGATCTCAGGAGTTCCACCGTCTGATTACTCTGGTTACCAGCCGGTATTCTCCCACACAACTTACTTCCTAATTGTTAATGTCTTTTTTTTTTTTTTGCTAATAAACAGATTGTTACTATCCTTACATTTCTGCTTTCACACAAACATGAGTAAATTCAAATCGCAGGCAGGCATCCTCGTTGAGTATACACCTCTTTCTCCCTTTGAAGTCATGTTTTACTGAGAATGTTAGAGTGTGCCTTAAAAGACCTTTTATTTGAGCTGCTACTGTCTCATCTCTTAGATGAGTGCTAGAAGCAACTGGAGTCGACCTTAGCTTGAAGTTATGTAGCTGAATCAAGCGCAGGGAAGATTGTATCTATAATTCACTAGGTCTCTTGATTGTCTGTGGAAGATAAAGTTGATGAGGATTACCCCATCACTATTCCCTTCCATCAATTTTGATCCTGAGGTTTCGGCTCTCTTAAGCAGACCTAAAACTTGTCAAAGAGAAGCAATTTTGTTTCCGTGATAAATTTGCAGCCATTCCTGATCATAAGACATTTGGGGAAGTGAGTGTTTATAATCCAATCACCAAGAATATTCCTAGGATCCTCGGAAGAATGCGCACATTTCCTTTACAAAAACAGTTGTCTTTGCATGTAAAATTGGATTATCTTTGGTTTAGAAATGCCAATTTCCAGGGGGTCCAGTGTGCGCGGGAGGGGCTGCAATGAGAAGAGAAAGGGTGGAAAAGTCTTCCTAATCTATAATATTTCAAAACAAACCCCAACATAAACTTAAGAAAGTGTCTAATCTACGCGGAAAGACATTGATTTCAACAGCTATTTCAGAAACCATGAATTGTGGTCCCCTCCGGCACCGAGTAGTCTCCATCACATATAAATGAATATTTCTTTTTGTTTGTTTGTTTTCCCGAGACAGGGCTTCTCTGTACATAAATTAATATTTCTATTGTGTGCTCGTTGACAAAATAATTTTTCAGTCGAACTTGAAGGATCCAGAAAGGGTATTGCATCTGCCCTGACGGTTTGGGGGAAGGAATTACAATTTCCAGTGAGAATTATAAAGCTTTTGGCTGAAGGAAAATCTGGGAGGAGCAACCCCGACAAGGAAAATGATTTGTCTTCAAAAGCCTATTTTTTATGAGACACACAGAGCGAACTTACTTCTTGCTGGGAGTCTTCTCTTGCAGATTCAGAGTTACCTGGCGGGCTGGGAGAAGTATGCGGAAGCTCCCGCCCCCAGAGGCTGCTGTTGATTGGCCAGTACCAGGAGGGGCGGCGCGGTGGTATTTCTAAAAGGCGCCCCAGGTGATTTTCTAAGCTGCTAAAATTGGGAGCCACATATTTCACACCTTATTGAAACGCCACTGTCTCCCTAATCTCACTTTAATGAACTCGACCCTGCCACTTTTGTTTTGTGTTTTGGTTTAAACAGAAATTTCTTAAAGGAGAGGGGCAGACCTTGGATTAAGTGGTTATACTTTGGAACCAGAAGGGGACCACTTCACAGTTGGACTGTTGCTTTAGCGCGCGCTCTTTCTCCCTCTCTCTCCCTCTCTCTCTCTCTCCGTGTGTGTGTGTGTGTGTGTGTGTGTGTGTGTGTGTGTGTGTCTCGGGGTGTGCTGTGATTATTGTAACCTCGGTTCAGTGCCTTCTAAATTGAGA